ACACACACACACACACACACACACACATACACAAGAGGAAGTGGAGGAAGCTGTGAGTTCTCAAAGCCCACCCACGGTGATGCACTTCCTCCATCAAGGCTCCACTTTTGAAAGGTTCCACAACTGTCTTAAACAGCGCCACCAACTGGAGACTAATGTGTTCAAATGTGTGCGCCTATTGGGGGGGGGCACTTATCCAAACCACCACCCTTGCTGGAACGGTAGCAAACCCACAGAATTGGAACCTCATTCCACCTCCAAGCTCTGCTACTCTAAGTGCTTCACACTTGGCTGTTGCCTATCTGGGATTGGGCAAATTTTGTCAAGACAAACACAACAGAAAACCTGCAGGGAAGAAGCAACTGGTATAGATCTATAAATCAACTGTCTTCACAATAGTGTACATGGTTCTGTAAGTTTTGTTGCAATAAGTTTTGTCATTTTATGTTCATGAAAACTTCCTGGTTTAAAAAATAAGAGGGGACAACAAAGTTTAAAGAACAACAACCGCAAGGCAACACACCACACTGGGCGGAAAGCTCTGCAACCTTCCTGAGTTAAGGTACTTCCAGTGGCATTAATCACTTTTAATGTCACTTTCACAAGAAAAGAAAAAAAATCCAACCATTCACCCTTATTAAGTAGAAAAGTCCACACAACTTAAACATGAAAGTTTGCAAAGTGCCAAAGAGATGCTGCTAGATTTATCTTTGAATTGTTAAAAAAAAATACCCAACATGCCCCTGGGAGTTAAGCAGGACCACCCTGAGGTCCTTGGCATGGGATGTTGGGTTCTTGTCCATCTATCAAGGAGACTCTGTGTCAATTGTCATATGACACATTCAATTCACACCTTGGGCTAAGTGATCAAGCCAGCTCTTTTCCAACTTATTTTTATTCTCTGCATAAAAAAATTTGCTCTTTTATTGAATTTTGATGTTTCTCAAGGTTTTATTATTTCCCTATAAAATGCCTCTCTGTCAAAATTTCCAATGCTTGTGACTATTAGAATTGTAGGATTGGAAATGTTGGGCACAAGAAGAGAGAGAAAGGTCAGAGGGCTAAAGCTACCAGTGAGTGAGTCATCTGTTTCTCCCAATTCTGTCTCTGAATGACTTGCTGTAGAGGACCAGGGAGTCTCCTGAACACGATCAGCTGGAAGCTGCACACAGAGAGAAGGGCCCAGAGACAGAGAAAGCAACACAGCAAACTTCGGTCTCAAACACCTCCCCCAAAATGGAAAGTGTTGGGTACACACCAACACACACACTCCACATTGACATACTCCCTTTAGGGTAGGACTGGGTTTCTAAGGTGAACAACTACGGGGAGGGTGTCTTCCTCCCAACAGGAAGTATTTCTTCAGGTGCCAAGGATCCTTAAACTTTTATTTGAAAATAGGTGCTTGGCAGAAGCCTCCCCAGCTCATGGGTTGAATTTCTTTACTTAACAAGTTAGGGCTTTACTCAGAAGGCAGTGTTCATACACTTCTGAGCCACTTGGAGTGATTGAACTAAACTGTCTGTGTGCCCACTTGACTTATAATTCAGAACTAACATCTTGGGCACCTTGTATCCCAAACTTATTTAATGGGTCGTCATTATTGTTGTCTGCTTCCAATGAGCTAGTACTGCCAGAGATAAATTAGGCTTGAAATTTTAAGACACATGTTATAAATTTATTTTTCACATTGCAGCCTGGTTAAGAATTTAGACAGTACTAACAAGTTTAAAAAAATAACTATTAGTTGACTTATTTTTTTCCCTTAAGTGAATTGAGTAAGATTCAGTTGAGTTACCAAAACAGTGTTTTTATGTGACTCCTTCAAACCCAGGCCTCCTTCCTCGAGTGAGACAGCATTTAGTTTACTAATTCATCATTATTTGTAGCTGAGTATGGAGACTGACACCTGTAAACGTAAGATGTCGTAGGTTGAGGAACAAAGACTGGGCTGCAGGGTGAGGCTCTGTCTACATTCATCAAAAACAATAAACAACAAAATGCCATTATTCTCGCCTCCACAGAAGTTTATAAGTATTTTCTTTTAGGTCTTAAAAATAAGTAGAAAAATGAATAACTAGGCCTGGATTCATGAAGATGTGTATTTTTTGTGCCCAGGCAGAATGTTGGAGAGTGTTATCAATATTCTCATGGTTGTGAACTGACACAGACTCACTAGTCAGAGTACAGGGGAAGGGGACTATCCCTTAATGTTTCCTTTCCATGCATCTCGTCAGTTTGCTCAGATGTTTCTGGCTACTGAGCTACAGCTGCCATGGGTCTTTGCTGTGTTTTCTTGCAGCCAGAGCTGTGTGACAATGTGTTTATCCACCCCACGGCAGGCACGGTTTTTATCATTATTTTCAAAACAGGAACAATGATTCTGTGCTCCAACAAGAAGCCTCTTTTCCTGCAAATAGGGCATGCTGACCCAGGCTGCACTGGCCAGGTTCCTCAGCTTTCGCCTACCATGAACACTTGAGGTTCCACATTTCAGCTCCCGAACCAATCCCAGCCCTAGGTTGCACTCATAGAGGAAAAGTCTCTGGCTTTAGAGCCACAAGGTTTGTGGGCTGACTAGTGTTTGTCACCAAGAACTTCATCATACCACTCAAAGCAACTGTCACACACAGAAATCTCTGAGGCTGACAGCCACAGAGAAATGGGCCAGGGATGGGAGGGCAGGCTTTATTTTACACACACCCCCATTTCCTGCTGTGCCCTGTGATTGGTGGAAAGGAAACATTGTAGACTATTTATCACATCCGCCCAGCTCCTCCTTGAGGCTTGCCCCAAGAACCTGGGTGTCAACAAGATGGGCCACTTTCTTTCACAACCCACTTCTGCTAAGTTCTAGGGTCTGGCATGCACATTTCTAATTTATGTTTGGTTTGCACGTTAGAAATCATACCTCCCACACACAGGGCCAAGCTCAAGTTGGCCAGCAGCAGTAAAAGCTTTGTTCTGTTTTATTTCCAAGGTAACTGAAAAAGTGGAATCGCTTATAACTTAAGCACCGAAGGCATGAATAGCCAACAGTTAAAATACCAACCATTTTCACAAAGGGAAAACTTGGTTTGAAACATGACACATGTGGCTGGACACACTCAACAAGGCAGTTGTTAAAGGGAGCCGGGAGCGGTGTGCTCCTGACCGGTTCTGGGTCTATAGTTAATCTGCTGTTCATTGCCAGTGTGTTTTTCTCTTCTGCGAAATATTTGCTAATGCAGTGACTTTTTGTGGTTTTAGTAAGCTGGGTTACAAAAACAAAAACAAACAAACAAAAAAACAAAACCACATTTGCTACACATTTCAAGTAAGGAGCAATTCTTTGGGCAAACAGAAAACCAAAGACCCTTTACACTTAAAAATGCACAGCTTTAAGGTAACAATCGAATATAAAATTCCATCCTGAGAAAGAAAATTATTCTGAGAATTTTAAACCCTTAGAATATAGCCCTTAGTTGTTGTTTTTTTTTAAAGAGTAATTCTATGTGTCTGGATTAAATGATGATCTACAAAATTATAACTATGTGTTTGTATTAGGAAATTGATAAATCAAGGGTCTTGGGTGGAAATAAAATATGCTGGCTTATTTGAAAACACAGGAAAATCAAGTCAAGAGGAATAGTGGCCAAAGGAGTAAATAACTTCCCAGGGAGGTGTAGGGAGACACCCTAGCCCCATCCCAGGCAACCCAGTCAGGTGCCAGGTGTACCAGGGACACACCCATGAGGGCAGGGTGAAGGGAAGTCGGGGTTGATGTAAGGGAAGATTCTTAAGGGCTGCACGTGGAGACCCCGGCCCTTCTCTCTTCTGCTCCCTAAGCTACTGGTGCTGGTTCCAGCTCCCTCCCTCTCGATTGATTGTTGTATCTCAATAAAGAAAACCTTACCACTATCTGTGGTGGTGGGCTGTTTACTCCTCAGGGAGGTGCCTGGAGTATGGATTTTTATGACTTGAGCTGGGACATTTAGTTGAAGACTCTCTACACAACTTGACTAGAACTTAATTCTAATTTTCCTGTTAGATGATGTTTTGCATTTTTCCACCTGTGATTTTAATACTTATTTCTACTCTTTAAATCTTTATATTATATTGAACAACTGAGAAAGCATAGAGGGGCCAGGGGAAGGGGGACCATGCACAGGCCCAAGAAATCAACCCTGACATGAGCTGGAGGAGGGGTCATCTCACCAGGGAGAGTGTCCCATTCTGGTGAGAAGTCAACATCCAGAAAGAATATGGACTGTTCTAAGAACTGAGAAATTCAGAGGAATTGTTGAGTGTTGGCTATGTCCCTGATGCCCTACAAAGTATACAACAAGAGGCAATGTAGGCAAGGAGGCAGATCGCAGTGAAATATCTGCCTTCCACAAGACTGTGGACTTGTCAGAAGTCCACAGTCAGCAATCAAGGAGAAAATGGGAAGTGAGGCTGGGCAGTAGCACCTCAAGGTCCCACCCTAGTGACTCACATCATTCACAGAGTCATTCGGAGGCTCTCTCCATCTTAAAGATGCTGTAACTTTCTCAGACCCCATGGCCAGTGCGGGAGGGGACAGGGCACACACACACGAGTCTATGACAATTATCTCACATTCCATCAACTACCGGCTGTTACTATGTGAAGGACTCAAAGGTCCCATTCTCTCTACAGAATTCAGTTAACCTACTGTGCAATGAAAACCTATAGGAAAGTACCTCAGGAAAAAACCCAACCCCCAAATTATGTTCATATTTTAGCAATACACTGGAAGTAGATGGCACAAAAGTGAGGTGTAAAGGATGACTTCTGGCTTTTGAAGCACAGGAATGAGATCCCCATTTACGGATACTAACAAAGACCCTTCCTACCCTGCGGTTGTGTTTTATCTGTAAAATAAATACGCTAAGTGAATGAACTCATTTCTTGCTGTTGGTGTGGCGGTTACATTAAATGGTCCAACTGAAAGCCACATCCTCCACCCACTCTGGAATTAACAGCTCAGTGGTACTTACTACACCCAGCCTTGTAGCTGAAGCCAGGAGGAAGGAGGAATCCTTGTTGGGCAGCTGCAGCAAGCGTCCGCTGGTCAGGAGGGAACACGGGGATCATCAATGGCGGCAGTTGACCTTGAACCTGCTGAACGTGAGAGAGCGAATCAAAGAAAAGCAGCTGTGGTGCCCCACGTTCCACCCCTACCCCTTTATTAGACAAGAGGAGAAATCACACATCCAGATTCCATCTCCTCTTATCAGAATGGCTGCCATTAAGAAAGCAAACAACATGAGGGAAACAGACAACAAATATTGGTGAGATTGAAGGGAAAATTGGTCCATTCAGTCAGTATGGGGGTTCCTCAAAATGCTGAAAACAGACCTTCCATGTGACTCAGGTATCCTTCTCTTATACATGGTACTTGAAAAGTGCCCAGGAGACCTGCCACAGGGACACTTACCACCCATGCTTATGGCTGCACAAGTCACAGTAGCCAAGACTTGAGATCACCCTAGACACAGGTGAGTGAATCAAAAAGAACATGACCTACACATAGTGGAGTCTTATTTATCATAAATTAGATATTTGATGGGCAGGTCCTAATGTATGCTGTGAATATATGTTTCTCTTATTGGTTGATGTATAAAGCTGTTTTGGACAATGGACAGGCAGGATGTAGCCAGGCAGGAAGGATAGGCGGGGCGACCAGACTAGGGGAATTCTGGGAAGAGGAACTCGGGGAGTGAGTCATCGGCAAGAATCCATGTAACTGCCAAAGAAGCAAGAGATCTGGGCATCACTGGTAAGCCAGGACCATGTAGCTTATTAGAAATGGGTTAATAATCAAGAGAGAGCTAGTCAATAAGAAGCCTGAGCAATGGGCCAAACAGTTCATAATTAATATAAACCTCTGTGTGTTTATTTGGGACTGAACAGCTGCAGAAACTTCTGTCTACAGATATTTATGTGCTTTGCAAAAGGAAGGAAAAAAAGGAAAACTACTCAGGAAGACAAATATTGAATGTTTTCTTTCATTTGTGGATTCTGGATTTATATAGGTATACAAAAACATCTCCCCTCTACATATCTACCTGTCTGTCTACCTGCTTATCTGTCTGTCTGTCCATCTATCCATCCATCCATCCATCCATCCATCCATCCATCCATCCATCCATCCACACATAAACACAAACTCTAGACCTCATGCATGCTCTTTCAGCATTGTTACCAACTGAGCTGCCTTCTCAGGCCCTGATTCTATCTTATAAAACCAAAGCAAGTACACACTTTATTCATCAATTATTGTTACTTGCAGGTAATTTATTTCTTTCATTTTTAAAATAATTTATTTTATTTGCATTGGTGCTTTGCCTGCATGTATTTCTGCCTGAGGGTGTCAGATCTTTGGAGTTACAGACAGTTGTTAGCTGCCATGTGGGTGCTGGGAGTTGAACCCAGGCCCTCTAGAAGAACACTGAGTCATCTCTCCAGCTCCGAAGATCATTTCTTATTTTCACAAATAATACTGAAACTTTATAACTTACGAGTAGTCTTGAAGAAAGTACAGAAAAAAAATCTGTCCATTTTCCTTTTCTTTAGAGACACAATTGCCACCAAAAGACACTGAGCTTCATGTGGCCGCAGAACTTATCCAAACCAGGTCGAAAATCCAGTCCCACTGGATTATACAGATACTTCTGATGCAATAAATCACACTCCTCTTTGAACTAGATGGTCTTTCCTTTTGTGTCGCCTCTCAAATGGATTCGGGGTTGCTGGTGTCCCTCTCATCATTTGAAGTTCACATCAGTTAATAAACCCTCACAACAAAACCTCCTGGCAGGGGTGGGGTGGGTTGGGGTGGGGGATGATGGCTCATAGGTGAAGTCCTTGGCTCACTAGAAAGAAGACTTGAGTCTGATCCTAGACTCCTTGAAAAACCAGACAGCAGGCCCGTGAGGTGGCATAGGCAACGGAGGTAGAGGCAGGCAGGTGTGCACACACAACTACTAAATGAATAGAATTTGAAAACTACGGTCGAGTGTAACCACGTCTCTCACCGTGTCATGTTATGGTCTAACGCGAAGCTATTGTCTAATGGAAGCTATTAACTACATTATCTAGATTTTGTTTTCAAACAAATATTTAAGCAAGGCCTCCCAGGTGAATGGAACTGTTGGCCAGTTTTTTTTTTTTTTTCTTTTGTCACTGGACACCTGGTTACTGATTTAGCATCATGTTAAAAGTTACAAGGGTGACGCTATGTTCTTCACAAATCCTTCCACACAGCAAGTAATTCAGCTTCTTAGAAAATATTTAATAACTACCGACTATTTGCATGAAGTTGAGCTTGGCAGTTGGGATCTGATATCAAGAAAACCAAGATCCCAGGGCCTCTGTTGTGGGCCTCGCCGTTTCTCATGGCTGTTCCCCGTCTCCTGGAATCTTAAGCTTCTCAGGTTTCTCATCATTTCTTGCTTTCAAAATTCACCTTAGGCCACACTCTTATAGGAAACCAAGTCTTCATCTCCCTGAAGCCATAAACTGCCACAAGTTCCTAAGTACGCTGTGGGGGCTTTGAGTCACCTGACCCTCTGTGCTGCGATGTCAACTGGCAACATCTTGTTCGGGTCTTACGCTCAGAAATTCTGCTTCTGTGAGTTCAAAGTGTGAGCGTCCTGTTGAGTCTATGAGACACCATATTCCTACCCTCCCGTCTCCTGCCTCTTGTGAGCTTTCTTTTCTTTTAACTTTATTTATTTTACATCAGGGCCGCCATTTCTTGTCCCTCCTACACTTCCAGTGTCTTCCCCCAATGCCCCCTTCTGTCCCCACCCCCAATCCACTTCTCCATTTCTGTTTAGGAAAGAGAAGGTCTCCCTAGATATCAACAAAACATGGCATATCAGGTTGCAGTAAGACTGAGCACCTCCCATATATAAGGCTGGGCACGACCCCAGACTCAAGAGGTATAGGGCAGCACATATTGGACTTAATGGTCATTTGGAAAAAGAAGACGACACAATGCTGGGGTGTGGGTAGAGATGGAGAGTGGTTTTCACAGAGGTTAGGAGGAGGGGTGAGTATAATCACAATAAATGGGATAAAATTCACAAGAAATTAATTAAGAACAGTAAAGGCAATGAAGGGATGCAGAAAAGTGGGAGAAAGAGTCCTCCCAAGGAACAGCACACCAACCAACCAGCATCCAATACTACACAGCCACCCTGAAAACACGCATGCAAGAAACAGTATGCAAGCCGAGTAAATGAACATATGGGTATACACAGGTACATACAACAATTAGTGAACAAAGAGGAAATGAGTTTGAAACAGGGAAATACTGCCATTGTAATCTCAACCATAAAATAAATTTAATAAAAGTTCATCTTTGGTTTCGCCTGTGTTTCATCTGCTACAGCAAACCTCTGGGCTGCTTACAAGACTCTGTTTGGTTCCTAAGGGTGGGGGCCATGGCACGAGGGAGGACTGAGAGAAGGAAATGAAGGGAGGAAAGGAGAGAGATGGACAGAGGGAGACAGAGGTGGGAGAAGGTGTGAGAAGGTGGAGAAGGAGTCCTGTCTCAGCACTGGCTGGTAGTTGCGAACTTTGCCTTTTGACAAATGGTTATAAACCTGTTTGCCACAAACAGCATTCGAAACAGAGGGACTGGAATGGGAAAACTACTATGTCAAGACGAAAGCTGAGGTTTTGGATGATCGCTGTTTCTAGGACACAATGGAAGAAGGGAAATCCTTATGGAAACACTATCAAGACTCAAAGGTTAGAGGATACAAACTGCACAAATGTAGAGATGCATGGGCTAAATCATGAAGCAGACAGACATTAAGGCAAACAGCAGGAGTTAGTTCAGGACGGTACAAGGAGGCAGATGAGAGGATAACTGACCAGTCGCACTGCTACAGGCTATGGCAGGCCATTTCACAGGGCACATTTTATCAGACGCTTGACACAACACATCTCATTTTCTAAGACAGCATAGGTTATAACATATATCAAAAATTTAATAAGAACATTTGAAATGAAGCAAAGAATCCTTGTATTAAACACACATCAAGGTTATAATGAACAGCCACATTTCAGATTGTTATGACATAAACAAAATGATGCCCAGACCTGCAGTGACCATGGGTCTTGTTTCAATGCAGTAACAGTCAAACTTCTCAGTACTCGAGTCCCGTGACAAGCTTTGCGAGAGCCTGACATGGGACCCCTGGCCAGTCTCAGGCTCTGACGGTCACAGCCTGTGCCCAGGCTTAAGAAAACTGTTTTTGAGATAAGATCTCACCACAGAGCCCTTAGAGAGACTCAAACTCCTGAGCAGCCTCTTGCTGCAGTATCCTGGATGCTAGGATTTCCGATGCCTGTCAACCCCCACCAAGAGCTGCTCTCATGAACGCTTTGTCACTGTCAGCAACTCTTTGTGACTCATCCAAAGCACCTTTAGGCATGACAGCAATGGCAAGGGAGACTGTTACAGGTCCTAGTGCCAACGCAATAACAGACGCTAAGTTATGCCCCTCATAAAACTCCTTCTAAGTGGTTCTCAGATAGATAATTCCATTTGCTTGCCATGTTTATCCTCCTGGGGCTCAAATCTGCATTGCATTTGTCCCTCTTGCTTATAAACTTTGGATAGCTTGCTTTCATCTGGTGACAAACGGCCAAGTCGCTCAGTGTGGATTTTCCTTTCTCTAGTTCTACCTCCAGATGTTTCTGCCACCCTCCATCACACCCTTTGTCCCTGCCCCAACAGCCCTTGAGGACATATTTTCAGGCTTCCTCTTGGCTTGTGCATACCAGAATGCATTCAGTAGCATTTTCTTTTTTCCATTCTTTCTTCATGACAAGGGTGTACTCATCCTTCAAACGATTTTGAGACTCACATAATGTTCTTGGTTATCAGGCACACTTACTAATGCACCCATTCTGTAGAGCAGAAAGAACTGCTGCCTCTTATAATTTAATAAGCTAATGCCTGAAAAGCTAACAGGACACTCCCGGGATTGAGTGATTTTTAATAGCATTGCGTTTCTTCTGTGAACTCTGAGTTTATTTAGAAAAAGGATCTCCGCTTCTTTCTCATTGCACTGTTGAAGCCCAACAGCTTAAGCTCTTCCAGG